GGGCAGGACCCGCCCGGCTGCCCCGAGGAGAAGGGTCTGGACGGGGGTTGTTCTGTCTCCGCAGTTCCTAAAGAGCAAGGCGGGAAAGCCCGAGAAGGCTGCCGTCCCCTACAGCCAGCCCGTGCACGGCTTACACCTGTGTGAGCAGCCAAAGATCGCCAGGCAGAAGAGCAAGTGCAACGTGCCCCTGGCGAAGATCACCTCGGCCAAAAAGATAGAGAGCTTTTGGCAGGATCCCGTGTCGCAAGACATCGTTCAGAAGCAGGACAAAAAGCCGCTTAAAAACGCAGAGAACTTCAGAAACGCCAGGTCCAAGAAACCCGTGACCCTGACCGAAGCCAGCCAAAAAGAAAACTACGCTGGGGCAAAGTTCAGCGACCCACCGTCTCCCAGTGTCCTCCCAAAGCCTCCCAGCCACTGGGTGGGTGGCACAGCTGGACCCTCTGACCAAAACAGGGAGTTGATGGCAGTCCACTTGAAAACTCTCCTTAAAGTTCAAGCATAGTTTCCAAGATCTCTCGAGTAATTGGCAAAGAAAACTCACCCGGGAAACTTAAAACAAACAAACAAACAAACAAACATGCCTTGTTGCAACGAAAATTGCAAAAGACTGTCAAGTCTTACCATGTTGACAAATCCTTGTATTATATTTTTTATGGTCGTGTAAATAGTGTACATCATGTATTATGTGTATATTCTTGTTCATACTTTGAGAGGTACATTTTAGTTTTGTTATGAAATGATGTATTTTGCACTGCCTGAATGGTAGATGTCTTGTATATACAATATGGACAATTTTAAGTGTGTGCTTGACACATGAAGACTTGACTTGATTTGCACAAGGTAATGAAAATTTCGAAAGGAGAGTACAGCTTTCTGATTTTAAGGTTCCAGATCAAATGTGAATGTTTTATTCATGCACTACTGACAATAGTTTTACCTTCTGTGTCCCAATCAAGTATAAACATGGAATTTTCATACAAATGTGAAGTTTTGCTCTCTGCTCTGGAAACAGTATCTGGCATTCC